AGAACTATAATAATCACAATAGTTGAGGGCAGACACGGAACTGGTAATAACAGTAATATCATTGCGCCGCGCTAATGTTCCTGCAAATGCTTCTGTGCCTATAGCAACTTTGATGTTACTCCTGTCTGCTGGTGCCTACGCTTGGTGCCCCCTAAGGGGCGGCGGCACCACCACCTTCACTATCACTATTGCCACAACAACCTTTCTTTCACAGGGCAGTTTTCTGTCTAACTGTCGCTACCCTCTCTCTCAGACGGCAAGAACAAATCCTCTCTCAAGCCTCTGCTCCTAGATATACACCCCTGCCTCACGCGTTTCTTCTCATGCCGCTTGTCTACTCTCTGGGTACCACCTCGACTACCAATAGGCGTGTACGTCGAGCTAGCAGCATGCAGGGTCAGCTTCTTCAGTGTTTTACAGTGTATATGAGATTAACTTCCTCACTTGTGGGGTAATGCCGGAAAATTTCTTCCGACTTTCTACTACCTATCTATTTACCTTTGCTTATGCATTTACTAAGCTGCCTGCCCAAGCAGTCAGGCAAGCGGCTAGCCTGTGGCTGTCGTTTCTTCTGTCTATTTTTAGCCGATACGTATTACGCTACTGCTTTAGCCTCTGACCGCTGCTTGATCACAGGAATCATCCTTGTACTTCAGATTGAACTTTTAATATATTAGACAGAATGTTCGTAAGTTGACAGGCCAGAAAATATCGGTTTCAATGTTTCCAGTAGTAAGAGTAATCCTGGAAAATGCTGCTATTGTCACTGCTGCTGCAAGTCAGGAAGAACTAATGCTCTTAATAGAACTAATCGCAATAGCAGCAGACACAACATTCATGTATGTATCCATGAAATAACGCGAAATCAGCCAGAATCAATTTCTCACTATAGCGAAGTTGCAGTAATACTTGTCGCAGGAGTGATATCAGAGAGCTTTGAACTCGTTACCTATCTACCTCTACTTGCGTCATCTTGTCTCAATAGCCGCTTATCGCTGCCGCAATAGTTACATTTTACAAAAAAAAATATTATAAAATACAAGTAGAGAACGTATCTGAGATAATGTCGAGTTCTTTAGTTCGGCGGTAGAGGGGCTCCAAAGAATGATCGAATGGACTTACACTTGTGGGTTAGTAGGTGAATGGGTGAGTTAGTTTCTTTTAATTAGTATTGTAGTATTATATTCGCTAAATTGCTCGTTACTTTTTGTACAACAAAGCGGACGTCTGAATTGCGATCTTTAAACTGATCGTCTAAAAAGCACCTCAACAAAACGTCACACCTGTAGTCATTACCGAGACAGCACTTCCCTAGCAAGCGTCCATACTTTCCGAGACTACGTTTAGGATTTATCGGCGTTGATATTTAGAAAAAGAATGGGAAGAAGTAAAATTCTATCTTAGAAAGCATTTAAAATAATGAAAAACGTAAGCGAAAGATAACAGAAGCTCAAAGATAATAAAAAAATTCACTTTTTCAAGGGCGCTACGCATAATGGTTACAGAACCATAGAATTAGTTATATTTGCGACAAACTTAATTTATATTTTGACAAACACAGTCAACAGTACTTGATGCAAACAATCAAGTACTATTTTTAGCAATAGCTGATATGTGTTGCTACCAATAATTTGCGTGATACGATATGTTGTAGTCTAATAGTTTGCCTGCTTCGTTCGGATCTAATCGAGTCATATTACTTTCCAAGTGATTCGCTTCCATTCATATAAATTATCCAAGAACATTGTTTGCTTTAAAATTTAACTAGATGACAGCGCACAGAATCGCCCCGACGGACGTGTTATTTCCATGGAAGCAAAAGCGTGCTTTGACATTCAAACAAATTTAATTTTTTTCATGTATGAGGTAACCGATCAACTATTTTTTTCTTAGAGATGTTTTTTGGGCTACATATCACATTCAATTGTTTCTACAACGGTGCTCCTTTAGATATAAATTGAACATCCTTATGTTTAAGTAGAATTATCTTCGCCATCGCAATATTTCGTGTTCCCCATTGTCGCTTTTGGTTGTTCATTTTGATTTACCTATACTTTTTGATGTTCAGTGTGTTTATTAATGTTTGCAATCAACAAGATTGACAAACTTACCAAGCGCGGTGTACGAATGGGCATCAATAGTGAGTGAGCGCACAGCGGTAGACCACAGCTATTTTAATTATTTCTGGTAAATATCTGACTACTATGAGCACAGGACAGGTGATTTAAATGGCGGACAGCGAGCGAGCGGTCAGTAATACCCGAACGAAAGGCGAAGAAAAAGAAGAAAAGGAAAAACCAGATGGGTTGACTACCAAATAACTGCTGCTACTACGACTACGATTATAGTTAAGGCCTACTGCTGCCGCCACTGACTCTCCACCCACCAAACAACCTGCGACGAAATAAGCGGCCTGATTACAAATAAAAACATTTTCTGAAAGTAAAGGTGAAAGTGAGGGCAACTACAAGCAAAGCAGACAAACTGAACAAGGACGAACGAGCCTAACGACTCAAAAAATCGTCTGCTACCTTAAGAGGACCCATACTGCCACCTATCAAACGGGCCAGTCAGCTCAGCTAATTAACTACTGAACCGTAAGAATCATAGGCAGCAGCAATGACTTCTTCGGTCAGTGATAAAGAAGAAGACAAAAAATGCTTGTATAGGGGCGAGCTTGCTAACCGAGAAGGCTGCCTTCGTTCACGTCCGTTTCCAAGAACAAAATCATACCTTCAACATCGCATGAAGCAGCAGAAGCGGGCGAAAACGCACTTGGCCGAAGAATAAGCTTTGGTTGTGTTATAGTTATGCAGGTTCACAGAAAATAGAGACAGCAAAAACACATCCAAAAAAATGAAATTTAGTCCTCAGTTTCTCAGCGACCTTCTTTCTTCGTTGTGTAAGTACATATATATCTGTGCTTCAGCACGAGTTAAAATATTCTTATGACTGTCATAATAAAAATACTTAAACATCCCACACTTCAGACTTAACTGATGCAACGTATAATAAATTAGCATGAGAATGTGTCGTGTTTGTTGTCGCTGTTTTTGATATCCTACCTTTCGAATGACCACTACTCTTCACTGTGTATTGTTGGTGTAGTGGAATTGAGAATGTGTGTAGTATGGTTGAGAATGCGCCGTTGCCATCAAGCAGCCAGCGGTGCTGGTAATTATCTGTTGGTCCGACGTCCATGCGTTCGCTTGCAGCTCATATAACTAAAGACTACACTATCGCCGATAGCAAAATACATCAAATATAAAAATACCGTAGGCGTTAGCAACAACAGTGGTCCCTGTCTGTTTCTTATGCAGGGATATCGTGTATCTTGCAGGTTTGTTACCTTCTCCCTGTTTATATTCCACGTAACAACGAATGATTCTTCGCAGTATAAATATTCAATGAGCAATATCACCACTAGTACAGATTTGGGACAACGGCAGCAAAAAATAAAAGGGAAATGTAAAAAACGGATAAGTTAATAAGTGGCTAAAAAAATATAAGGTCTGTTGCTTTTCGTTCAATCGGTCACTCTTTGATGGACTCCCACTATTAACATTAATGACGTGCATAGTCACGCAGCTCATGCGTGGCTCATGTGTGCAATTGGATATCGCCAGCAGCTGCTCGATGAAGCAATTAAATAACAGGACGAAACAGCTGTTTTCGACACATTTGGCTGTGGCTATTCCCAGTCTCGACCATCATTGCTCAACCTTGCACATAACAATCGAATAGATATGTACTTCAGGTACCATAAATACACAAATTGATGAATGTACATGTGTGAGATGTCCGTACACGAAATTATGTTTATTGCTTTTAATTTTTACATTCGGCTACAGGGCACCACATTTTTTGTAGTGAAATCAGCCTGTTTATGGTGAGATTAAAGTTTAGCTTGACCAATACTGATTTTGCGGATGATAGTGCGTAAAAATTATATCATGCGGTTCACTAATGAAACATCGCAGAGGCAGTAGACATCACAAAATATTACAAATGTTTAATAATAATAGTAATAATAATAGCAATAGTTATATGCCTTTTCGTATGTGCGTGTGAGAACACCTATCTGCAAGTACACTTAGCCTTTTTCTTGCTATTTTTAAAGCAAGCACTAAAGGATTCAATCGGAAACCACAATTTAATACCTTCACACAGAAATTATCATTTCCGTAAAGAGAAGCCATTTTCACTTTTGAAGAAAAATATAGGACTTCTTGTGATAAACAGGCAGCGACGAACGACGCTTGCTTACAACCAATGGCGGGGGCAAAACGATACGGAGATGAAAGACGGAAAACAAGGGATAGAAAAAATACGTCTTTAGCATCAAAGGCTTTTGGCAAGTGAACCAGTAATGGCGATATGTTCGGCTAAATATATGGTACTTAATATGTATATTTGCTTGGAAGTAGTCTAAAACCAACAATTTATGCATTGAAAGTGAGGCCAGTAGCAGCACAATGATTACGGGACACTTCACATCTGCCCCGATCTAAATTGTTGTACCTAGTTCCCAAATGACTATACAACAGTAGCTCCGTGTTCCATGATGGAAAATGTGATACCACAATCGACTTCTGCGTATTTTCGCGTACGAATTTGCACAATAGTATTAGCAATAATATAGTGTGAATGTAATATATTTGATAGAATATATGGCTTTCATTATAAGACGCAGTAAGATGGATAAGAAGATCACTTGAATGCTTACCTAGAATGGGGCCTCACTCGCCCAAGAACTCCCAAAGAACCATTATTACGGACATGTGACGTAATAGTTGCGTTGTTCTTTGACCTTTCTTTTACGCTTCAAACAATCATTGCAATAGGCTTTTTCCTCAACAAGTTCAACTGAAGGCAATTGAAGAACATCAAACATTCCTTTATAATTGAATTGCTGATCGATGGCTGGTTTCCTGGCTGGTCTTCACACCCTTCACCTAGGTAGGCCCCTTACAACACTCACTGACTGACTATGTTCTTACCGTGATATTGGCGTGGATCTCATATTTCTTCGAGTTGCGGCCAACAAATCGGCAGGTTAGTTCGTCGACGGACGCGGCTACCACCTGGAACACTTCGTGATTTTTTGGGAAAGACGCCTGCAGCGTCTGAATGTCCTGCTTGAGCTGCACCAGGCACGCCATCATCATCACTATAGTTGGTGCTGCATCACACTCGAAAACGCCACTGAACACCGACCGAACCAATCAGCACTAACCCCGCATACGAACTGATTCCTCCCTCTGGCTGATGCTCGGAGGGGGCTTCTCGTACTCCACTTTGTCTAGCACTACGACTAAGCCACGAGATCCGAGCACAAAGAACGAGCTGCACAAGCCAGGAACGATGCAACAAGGCCGAACAGGTGAAACGGCGATTTTATTCCTGTGCTGCACAAGATCCTTATAGCCCACCCTCAGTTGCGATACGGAGAGCTGGGATCACAGACGGACTAGACGTAGCACTCCGCAGCTACTCGTAGGGCATAGTACTACGCGATGATCAGAACACAAAGACAAGATGGCGGATTGGCTAGTAAATCGTACCACACATAGTACCACAAATCGAGCCACTGTGGCGGGCCAAAGACCGCCCGTACCAATCGCAAAGCGAGATGAAGTCCAGTAGTCAGTCAAGCATGCATAGCCAGTATTGATCGGAGACTGATGGTGGCTGTGCTTATGAAAGGATGAAAAATATTGGAGGTGCGCAGCGAGTGACGCGAATTTGTGGCGGGAAATCCAGTGCTGTATTTAAAAATGACGAGAACCCAGCACATAGGACACAACGTTTGTTATAGTAACAGCGTCTGCCATTTAGACTATCACCATTAAATCTTGAGCGCAAGGTTTACCGATCCTATCATTTAAAAAAAGGCAGGAATTATCCAACCAGCACCTATACTGCGTTTAAAAAATATTGATTAGCAAAATTGCAAAAAAAAACAAAAATTTACAATAAAGGAGCATCTGTCACTAAATCAACATGTCATCAACGGGAAACAATTTACATAGCGATATTAAACAAATGCAGCTTATTCCAAAATTATGGCACACTTAGGCATGATATCACAATGTTTTTTTGCTTGACCGAAAGTCGATGTGTTTTTCATCATTTCGATGGTTTGGGAATTAGGTGTACATGAAAATATAAAACACAAATCTATGGAACGGAGTACGATCTTGTTCAGAAGTTAGCCCAAAAGCTCGTAAAACAATAAATTCAACTCCTTGTACGATATAAAGGAATAGAATCGAAAAACTATATCTTTTAATGTGGCATCTCTAGGGAAAGCCATTAGTGCTGGTGCCCAGGTTCAAGCGAAAAAATATTTTCCTGGAAAGCTTTTGTCTAAATAACGAAAGAATGACAATGCGCAACCAGCCATAGATATCATAGTGTTCATTTTATCAGTTGAATCAGAGAGCTACCTGGCCCAGGTAGCTGAAGCCCTCCATTTGAAGTGATCTGAATTTCGTATTTGGCATTATTTAGGAACCGTAACAGATCCTTGGCTCGGTATTTGGTAATTGTATCAGTTAACTGCATGCCTTATTCAAAGCTCTACTTAGGCACAGCCGTAACACCAATTTTTATCCAAATAATCCAGGAAATTTTTCAATGACCAGTTTTTTGTACACGATATAATCTGATATAATGAGACAAACTGATGTCGTAATACAGAGGATACCTAAAGTAGCTAGTGTAGCAGAAGTGGTGGCCACTGACGATTTAATATATATAGATAATTCGTAAATAATAATAATAAGAAGTAAATTTGACTGCTCGATTTTAAGGAGAATTTTGCCTTGAATGTTAGTTATGGTTTTCGTTTTATGACAAATGCCAGATGCAATCTAATGCTTATGTCGGCCCACTAATAATGCTTTCTGTGTCTTCTGTTTTCATACAAAAGTTGTAAGCTGAAAAGCACAATAACTTTTTACTCAAATAGGTACGCAACAACTCGTTTTGGTGTCACCACACAAAAAGTAAATGTTTGTACTGTGTTGCATTATATAAGAATATTGGATTATTCAATTCTTTCGAAATTAAGAGTTATCTCGGTAAACAGAATGCAACATCAGAACAAGACGTTATTTACTTTTCTAAATTATTTAAATTGTCAATATTGAGTCTAAATTTGAACTACATATTTTACTCGGTCTCGAAGGGTCGAGCAGAAATATTATTAATTGAGTTGATATGATTCAGTTCAGCTCGGAAATAGAATAAGCAGAAAAAACGTACTAAGACGTAACGAAACACGTACAGTTTTATACAAAAGACAGAATTTTTTTTTATCATATGGTTAACCCATGGATTTTGTCATATCCAAATAGGACCGCGCCAGCTGTGCTCGGGTATTAAAAAATGGACTGCTTTCCGTCTAACAAATGTTGTATAATACGTAGCAGCCTTTTGCTCGAGTTTTTAACTAAACTCTCTCGTTGCGTAGTTTCGACCTTATCATGAAATTAGGCCTATGTTAAAAGCTTTTCTCAACAGCATCAAGTTTTGCCATATCACCGACTTACTACTGGATATGTCTTACTGTCAGTTAACCATCGTAATGTTTCAAATTAATGCTCGACTGTATTATACCTCTACAACCTGTTTATTATTTGATCTTCTCTATTTTTCTGTATTGGCCACCGTTTATCCCAGTAATGTGTCGTAAGCCGCGCGGAAACCACCTGCTGCCAGATCCCCGCGACAGGTCAAGCCATTTAACTTTCGCTTTTGTATATAGTACGTGGTTCCTTTGTGGTGCTTTTCTGATTGGGTTGGCAACCCCAAGCCGAGTATTCGGAGGCGGAGCAATGAGTTTTTAGCAGCTGTAGCGGCAGCAGCGGTAGGAGTTCTTGTGTTGTGTGCGTATGCGCATGTGTGTGTGTAAAAAAGGAGAAGAGGGGGAATTGTGTATCGCTATCCGTTCCTTCATTTATTCAACCAACCGTCGAGCTGTCCGTCGGTCCATCGCGGCCACGGCAACTGGTTACGGTGGTAGAGATACTCGTTACATAAAACAACTCATAACAGCACATAAGGCATTGGCCGATCGTCAACCACTTTAGTTGTCAGCCCGGCAGCAATTGCGTGTTAAGTCGAGATCTGCTAGCCGCCTATGTATAGCAATTAGTACGAGGATAAACGACAACAGATTGACTTATTACTACTATATTACTCGCTGCTGGGTGACCAGTAAACCTATGATGGTTATATAAGGCTTGCCGCTCCAATGCTTAGTTGAACCGCTAGCACTTATTGGTCATTATTTTGACTAAATTAACTACCGCTACTATTGCTAGAATAAATGTTTCGTGCTGCTTCTACTATTAGATCTAGTAATACAACTACAACCTAAATCATTTACAGTGTTTGGCTCAATCAGTTTGCCTATCGCACTACAGCCACTGCCACATCTATAATATCCGTTCGCTTCTACTTCCTGTTCCATTCCTTAGTCCTTAGATCGGCAATAAAATTCTCCTGATGAGATGGTAACAATTTTAGGCGGCCAGGCGTTCTCTAGCCATCATCAAACTTCAGGTGCTATAAGCCTCTGCTTCTCGTTCTGTAATAGCTAATACGAGAATGAAAACATAACGCCTCCATCGGCGACTGGCTAAGTTTTTGTTGGACTTAGCTCGCGACCAAGAAACGAACGACCAGAAAACGTAGGACCACCGTCCGGGTATATATGTGGCGTTTAGTCAACGATGTCGTCGTGGCTATTGCGCGACGACAGCCACTAGCTAGGTTCTTCGCTTGCTATTGCTGACATTAGCTGGAACAAGCAAACAGACGAAAATCCAAGCGGCAATATGAGGCGGGCAACGAACCGGTAGCAGTATCAGTAGCGGTCGGCAACAGCTTTTGCTGCAGAAGCCACCGTGGGCATGGAAGCGGCGACCCAGTTCGCTTCCTTCCGGAGTGTTCATACCTTATCAGCTCTCTGCTTTTCGGGTAGTCGCGTCTACCTTTTGTTGCTGTTATCGCTGGCGGTGTCACAAATCCGACAGGCCGCCGCTAGGAAAGCCAACGAGCCAATACCCATCACGGACACCATTGTTGTTCACAGTCGTCTACAGCCTCTTCTCGTCGGCCTTTTTGCGTCAGTCTAAATGTCAGCATGTACAGTGACCATATGTATAGTTGGTCAGACTCGTCTTCTCCCCATTCTCTCCGATGTTTGATGCGAATTGATGGTGACGCAGCTGCTTAATGATATATACCCTACTTGACGAACGCACGAGTTTTCTTCGCGTCGCCACCACAACTTTTGCATTGCTACGCGGATAGTTACAAAAGGAAACATTGTTTCACAGGTCGTAAGTGGCTTATAGCTGGTAGGCAGGACACGATGTAAGGCTGAAAGCATCAGTTGGTTGGTAGGTTGCAACAAAGGTTGGACTTTGAAAACGTCGTATAGCTAGGCACTTCTCTGGCTACAAGGTACTACTGTACAATACCAAACTAGAATGTCGGCCTTATCTTTTTCCTCCCCTTTTTCTTGTGCGACCCTGACCGTTTGTTGGTCCAGTTCCTTGGTCGATCGAGTCAACGTCAACTACAGGAGCAAGTAGTGAACAGACAAAGCAACTTTTGTCGGATTATTGTAATGTTTTCAATGTGCGTAAGTTTTTGTCGCTGGTTCAAGCCCCGCCAACCGAGGTGCGTAATATAATAAAAGCATCATATTATCGCGCTAGCGCGGTACACCAACAGCAGTTGTTATAGAAGTGGAAGTAGGGGGGGGGGGGGGGTCGCAACGACAGAAAGAGCAGCGGGAAAGCCAAGTAGATTGGGGCTAGCGATGGATTACATGGTATAGTATGGCGTAGCGCGCAGGAGTGCCAAGTGGGCCAATGTTACTAGGTCACGGTAGACACACCGATGGGGGCCACTCCGCGATCGGGGCCTTAGGACGTTGAGAAAGAATTAGTCAACAGATAAACTGGGAAACGAAGCGATGACAGGGCATCGGAGCGGAAGGTCTCTACTATATGTATTGTGCATGCAGTATAGGAAAGGGAAGGATATATAAATAAGCTCCAGTAACAAGAGTAGCGTTTGCCCCGTTCTTCGTTACCCTCAAAGCAACTTGGAGGCAAAATAAAGACGACATTGTTGTGCCTCACTTCTAACTCAGTCTAGCTCCCTGTTGTCAAAGAATTACTGTATAGCTAATAGAAGCTCTGATAGAGATTTATAAAAGCACTAAAATGAGAAGTTCTCACTGTCCATAAAGAAACCGTAGCCGATGACGATGGTAGAAAAAAACGTAAACACTTAAACTTTCTATCTCTAATATATATATATATATATATATATATAGACCAGCCGTAAAGATTAAATTAAACTAATAGCCGATAAACGCAATCGATCAAACGTTACCGAAAAAAGTATGCATCTAGAACATAATAATGATCGAAAAATTATGCTTTATTGATTAGCGGTGAGGCGAGTATAATTCTAGAAAAAAAACAGCTGCCTTTGTTACTGTAAGCAATACGAGTAAAAACGAGAACCTTGAAAACGTCGAAGAGATTTCACTTAACAAAAACGTGATTTTACAAACTTAGAGCAAGTTTTATAGAAGCACCAAAGACTAGAGAGTATAGAGTTTCTAAATCACGCTTTCTATTCGTAATCTATTTAAAATGATACAGCTTTCCGCCGCATACGTTATATTAATGTTCAGCGAATTCAACCCTGTTTGAAACAATCAATCTTTTCCACGACTTTTAGCACATGCAGCAGTACAGTCTGAGAGATACTGGTCAGATTTAAGATTGAATCCTGTTGAAAAGAATTATAGTTGTCAGAAAAAACAGGACAGTAGGCGTTAAGTACAGGTCAGTTGGCGTTATTCTCATAACAACCATGAGAAAGATAAAACTAAAAGTTACCTACTCTACTATTACTTAGAGTTACGACTAGTAGAATAGATAGAATTACGGTACCCAATTTTGTTTAATCGAAATAAAATAGCAGGCTCAAAGTTGATAAGTTTAAGGTACTACAGCTGGGAATAGACAAAAGGAACATGTCGCAGATAACTCTATATGTAAATACAGAATCACAGTAATTCCTTGGGCTTTCCTGTAGTCCTGGAAACAAAGTTGACCATATGACAACATTTTTATAGGAGACGAGAAAGATCATAATGTAAGCATTTTTCAATAAAAAAGCGGAAAATATATCTGGCATTGTAGAAGGTTGGAAAAATATACGAAAGCCAGATTTGTCAGACAAGAAAATCGGCATTAGTTGTGTTTTTGTATTTGTCATGGAAATAGACAATTATAGCCAAGAATGCGTTTATTAGAAAATATCGCAAACAGTTCTGGCAACCCCGCTTTCTTAAGTAAGCGGTGGAAAATAAGCAACTATATTACTAAACCTCAAAAGAAAAAACGTTGCCTGGGCTATATTTTGAAAATAGCCTTTACATATGATTACACCCTGTAATAAACTTTGTAATGATTAATATTTGCTAAATTTATTTCACGAAAATTGTTGTTCAAATCGAACTTGCAACTTCTGGAACGATTTCAATGCAAACTACCGATTTGCTACAAACGGAACTTCACCATCATATTGGACCCATAATAACTAGAAACCATTATAATTATTGTTGTAAACTGAATGCCTTCATACGCGGGGTGAACTATGTAGGTTGCACACTGCACCTGGATGATAACATACTTTTATATTCAAAATATGTTAAATATGCAGTGTTTATAGATTATAGACTTCCCTTCAGAAAATTAAAAGTAAAATACATTTTGATATATATATATGTATCCTAGGTTGTAAAAAAGTACTGACAACTTTCAAGCCAAAATTGAATCAAATATTATCGATATTTTAAAATAATATTAGTAAACCCTAATTTCATCAATGGCCTTTTATTATTTTTTGGCAAAACCATAATATCATGACCGAAAAACTTTTGTAGTTTCTAGCGAAAAATCGTGACTTTTGCATCCGTTGATTGAAACTAAATGAACACCATTCAATTTCTGCAGAGGCAAAACAGATGATAGTACAATGGTGCAAGATGAGGGCCATACAGGGTATGCGTTAGAATTTTTCATCCAAATTTTCTCGGTCTTTACCGAGTAAATCAAGATGTAAGTTATTTGGCATTGTCTTAATGAAAGAAGACAATTTTGCCGTTCAAAAGTTCAGGTTGATTTTTTTCAATGGTCTATTGTAATAATATTAGTTATTGATAGTACAGATCTGAATCAATCATACTGCGAGGCGAAGACAACTCATAATCTACAAGTCTTTGTACAATCCTACCAAAAACGTTAATTGACGTCAGTTTAGTCTATGCCACTGGTTGGAGAACACATTTTGCTATTTTTTTTTACTTGCGTATTATTCTCGTATATAATCCACTTTCCATTACCCAAGATCAATCGTTCCAAAAATAGTTCAATTTCATTGTACTGTAGAGTTTCGCAGATAAAAATACGATCGAGTAAATTATTTTGCTTCAATTCGTATGACATCCTAACATCGAGCTTTTGTTGTAGCTTTTCAAGTGGTATGAAACTGTCTAGTAGTGGATGTTTGGTTTTCTGGCAACATCATGGCTAGTCACAACTTCCGTCATAATTTCGTCAACTTTTTCCTATCATGCGAACAACTACTATCATGAAAAGAATCTTTTGCATCGAAATTTCGGAACGAAAGCTATTTTTTATAATAATGCATTTTGACTATAAACTTTTTTATAGTTTTATCTTTTATGACCCTAGACAGCATCATTTCGAAGTCCCTAAACATTTGTTTCCTCTAGACGAGTGAGCACCATCGATCAGCAGATGCAAGGCGACGTTAAGCTCACCGCGTATTTCATTTAATCTCCTTTCATTAAGCCTTGCGTAGCTACACAATGGAACAAATGAGCCGTGGTAACAGTTCACTCCCTAGCACCTCTATCGACAGCGTTTACTCTACGACGCCCAGGAAATGTAACAACCTAAACCTAATTTTGCAATACGTGTTATGAACGCTACCCGGTGAGTGACATAAACAAAAATAATGTTATTTCTTACATTACACAGTTTTCTGTCGGCCAAATAGATTTAAATAGTTTCAAACAGAGGTGTCATATACAAATTTGTGTCCTTCTTTGGCATTTTTGCTGTTGTGCAATATACTGTCACTAAGGCTCGTTGTTGCACCGTATAATTGTAGCACAGTTGCCTACATAGGGTTTCTCTTGAGACAGACGTGAATATGGAAGTTAGTCTCAACGTTCCCAGTGATCGCTATTAGCGGCGTTTCGCCATAACAACTATTCTAAACTTAGAACATCGAATCCCGAACACTTAGGATATCTCCGCAAATAGAACACAGCCAATCTCGTAAGTTATGAAGAAAGAACAGATAGTTATTATCTGTGCTTATTTAAATTGAAGCATTATAACACTTCAACATAGACGAAAAATGTTTAATAAAACTTTGAAACATATGTAGAAGTTGACTTTTTAGAAGGTGCCGTCTGTTCTTGTGTATTAATATATATTCCTAATTAGTAAATACGTTACCTGTAGCAACCTGTGTGTACTTATGTCTTCTCTTCAATTTAAACACAAAGTGGTTCAGGACAGTTTTGGACAGATGGAACACATGATTTTTGTTGACCATCGAAATGGTTAGAAAAAAACGATTATGGCAAGCTAAAATCTAGAAGAACAAAAAGCTGAAATTTGCAAAGCAGCAAAAGAAAAACATAACATTTATGCAGAGGCCGGTAGGTCTATGCCATTGCGAATGCCAGATTTTTGTAGAATGAAATAAACGAGAAATAACACGAATATAAAATGTATAGTCATCACTTGTTAGCTTCTATTAAGGATTATTCACTTATATTTTGATTTATCGATTATTGCGACGGTCTAATATTTTTTTTTTATAGCTGGTTATCATTTAGCCCAAAGAGAACAGATATAACTTTACGCATTATAAAGGTCTGGAAAGAAACTGGGGCTTTAATAGCAAGTAGAGAAAGTTCCAAGAGTCTCATAATATTACTGGCATGATTGATTACTACTTGTTACGGCATACAGTTTTACAGATATAAAGATGTATATTAAGTGAACATTACTGAAGACATTAGCTCGACTGAAAAAGGATAGTACTAGCTTAAAGTCGCGTTTCATATATCTAGTGAAAAAAGTCATAAAAACAAAAGCAGTTTTTATGTAACTGGAAATACTATTAGTACTCCAAGGCAATACTGAATTCAATATTGTGACCTTTGCAGCTGTTGTTTCCAGCTGCTTTTAAACAATCGAACTCCTAGCAAGCTATTATGAGATAAATCGAAAAATCATTAAACATTCGCTTCATATTTTTCCTTATACCTAACATACTCAAAAATCTTACGTGGGCCAGTAGGCCTATAGTGTGAGAAATATACAACGGCAAGTAAAATTATACTGCAACAGTTTGTTGATAGGTATTCTGGAATGAGTCGATAACAGTAATAATAATATAAGTTTGCTTTCGAGATTCCGTTTAGTGTTAAATTCAATGGAGCTTTAGCATCTTGCCTCAAGGTATAGCGCTAAGAAAATCTGATCCATTACGAACCCTAACCCAGGGTAGCCCTGGTCTATTGATATAATTGCGGTGCGAATGAAAAATGTCTTATTAAACGAGAAGCGTCTTTCAGTTTCTTCGAAAGATTACGTTCGCATGCTTCGAGTGAGAATTGCAATTTGATTAACATACTATAGCTTTGAAATGTTGATTACGGTATGAATGTTCCATTGATGGACCCTGTTTCTGCCGTGTCGTACCGTATTAGAAATAGCGTGACGTGAAAAACCGCGTCTTTTGCGCGCCATCATCGCCAGGTTGGAAGATACGGTTTTCTCTCTCTTCCCCAAGGTTAACATGTACGGGCTCCGCTGGCTCTGGTCAGAAAAAAACATATGATAGTGTATGACTGAGCTTCTTCGAATCAATAGTCGGTGGTAGTAATGTTCAATTCTGTGTTCCATAAGCGACCGATTAGAGTGATCCGAAATGGCATAGAACCATGAAGTAATTGATTACGACATAGACTACGTTGTTCACGTTGATGCTTTCGCCACAGCACTGAAGCAGTATCAAACCAGGGACATGGTCACAATATCAGTCAGCAAAGCGTCCTATACCTAAGTACAGCTGGCATTCGAAACCTCTGATTCGACATTTCTCGTCTGTAATAGCGTTTCTGTATTCAGACAATCTCGTTTATGCCAACGGGCGAGTCAGTGCATAGGTATTTGGGCTAATTACGTTCATGTTATGCATCGGCCACAAGTTAATTTATTTCAAACAGTAGTAAAAAAACGACCTCACATCGAAGAACGGAAGCCTTACTGCCATGTCTAAACGAAGCTTGAATTATACCAGCCCAAGCTCAACCAGGGAGCCGATTAAAACTTAATGCCAGAATGAAAACACAACAAGATGAGGAAGACATTGTAACAAGGTTTGATGCCCAACTCGGACAATTTGGTTCAACCAACTCATGTTCGTAGCAGAACATTCGGATTATCGAGATATCAGTATTCTGCGCTGCCTGAACAATTTGAAAAGCGGAAACATTTCTTCCAGCTATTCAAACGAAGAGGTGCGATCGACGTTCATTCAAGCTAGCAAAAATCAAAGACTGAATTTACTACAACGATGGGTATTCATCTCAGTCGTCAGAATGGACTTGCTGATGGCGAGGATATAAATAGTAGTTCCGTCTACAGATACCCTCCGAAAAGTGGTGAGGATAAAGTTGAAAACAGCATTGCACAGTTGACTAGAGCACCGTTTGCATATCCAGGAACTGATGTCACATAATGAAAGATGCGAATTCGTTAAATTAACACTTTGATCTTTCACAATTTGGATGAGCCCTAAATAAATGTCCAAGTTAGATAGGATTATTTTGAATAACTTTGATACTGAAAATAACCATTAACTATTCATGAAACTAGTTCGTGCTCATTTTCAGTCTGTATTGTGCTGGCATTTAATTAATTTTATATACAAATACCTCGTCTTGGACTATTATACCTCAACCGTGAAGAAGTCCCTCAAGAAACTCGCATGTAGTGAATTCCTTTGCACTTATCCAGGGCTTTAACAGAACAACAAAGGGTATCTAGGGAAGCATTAAGGTTACTGATGCTGCTTTAAACCAATGAAGATATAACTTAGAAAGACCAGTTCATTCCTTAAGTAATGGATCGCGTTGCCACATTTGAAAAAAAGTGCGTCAACGTTAGGACAAAAAAAATTCAGACGTTCTTTACCTGCGGAACGTACTCGAAGTTACTCTGAAACGTTGTTAAATTAGTAAATCCATTTTAACCTACTGTATTTAAGAATAATGCCTTAAAATGTTTATTATTTCAGTTTACGGCACATGTTTTTTAAAATAAGTCGAGACTGCCCGTTAAATTTTGGATTCTACAGCTACAATATGTTAGAGTTACAAATTGATACTTGTTTCATTTTTTCCCTTAATTATATCATATGTTTTAATTCAGTTCGACCACAGACACGACCTTAATTATATAGCGATCGCCCGTGTAAACATTTCTTTGAAATGCATAGTATTAAAATGTTTGAGTCAGTCCAGGCCTTCAGGCGTTCTATTATATTTGTGACCAAAAAAAATTAAAGCTTAAACATGCTCATTATAGGTATTCAAGTTTGCTCTTAAATGTTTGTACTTTAGTGGATCTTATTTTACTTTTTAAATATATTCTTCTTGTTGTCAAGGATGCAGTACATACTGGACTTTCTTTTCAACATTGTGTAAGCCACAAGTATTGTCAGCAAATCTTAATTTGTTCGCTTACTTTTTTTATTTTGTTTATTCGGTTTTTGGTGATTTGATACGTAAGAAAGTAAAAAAATACTTGATGGATAATAAGTAGAGCGGCGTAGCATTCTTTGTCTTACATATAACTCTACGATTTCCGAGGGATTTGGAGATTTGCGAAGGTTAATATTTCATCCATAATGTTTGAGATAGAATGTAACTCCAATTTGCTGCTCTTCTTGGAAAATATGATTTTATTAGCTTTTTAATTAACCAGTTATTGAGCTAGGTTAAACAAATCTACAAAGATCAGCATCACTTCAAGTATTTTAATTAGGTACTTGCAAACGAGAAATTTTAATCGGCCAATGCAAATCATTTGTTGATGATACTTTTTTCATTTGTGGTTTCGTCTTATTCATGAAGTATTAAGTTACAGTTGATTATGTTCCGACAAATTATAGAAAAATTGGATTTTTTTGGAACCTCGAGTGCGCTCAGCATATTTTATCAGTTAGTAGGTTATATCTAAATTATCAATATTTAAAACCGTTTTCACCAATAGTCACGTAATGCCTGACTTATAGATAGTCGAGTATCTAATGAGCTATAAAATGTGTATAATAATTTTTAAAAATGTAACGTGTTTTATCGCAGGTACTCTCTAGCAAGTCACAGTAATAGCGTAATTTGTACGGGCGGTCTTGCTTTGCCCTGCTACTTGCAGGTAACTATTTTGCATCGCATTTTATAATGGGTGGAGAGCGGTTTGATGCCTCCCAACCAGAAGCCTATCTGTTCGGGGAGAACTCAGACCTGAATTTCCTTGCCTCACGACCTTTACCGTTTCCCTACCCAGCACCTCAGCCGAACGAACCAACTCGTCCACTCCGATGTCTCATAAATATTCGAAAAGAATCTCTCAGATTTGTGAGGTAAACTTTACTCTCAAGCTCAAACGTGTTTGGTTCTTTATGAAGATCTTCGACTAATTCTATGGCTGTTTTCTATTATATAATCTAAGTATGCCTGTTTAAAAAAGAATATGTAACCCGTGTATGTGATACTTCTGATCAACTGCAGAGTAAAAACTGGCAGCGGTAATAATAGTGAGGGGTCAACTAAAAAGAATGCTAGTTCAGACGATACCTGTAACGGTGGTCCAAGTCCAGGAACAACAGGTTCCGGCTCAACGAAGTACAACATTGAGTTTATCTTCGATACCGAGTGTCGTTGTGCAATAACTGTACTCTACTTTTGCACCGAGGAAGTTACTCCAAATGGCATAGTGTGAGTATTTATTGCCACTTTGTTTCGTATAAACATAGACTCATTAACATCACCCTCCATAAAGAAAGCACGAATCACGAAACTTTTTCAGAAAGGTTGGAAAATATTTTTATTAGCATCTTTGCAGAATAATTTTTATACCACGAGCATCAGCATATCATATATAGCTTCCGTATCTTTTTAGGGGTCTAACTAAATAGATAGAAACAATTAATGCGTAATCGTTAACGTGCCCTACGTGCATGTAAGTTTCATCTTCGATCTCAAGGCCCACATTCATGAAAATTGTTTCGTTTGGGTTTTTGATTTTGCAGGTACTGTCCCCGCTTTCCAACAATGTCATCGGAAACCTACCATTACAAGCGCGGCTGCAATCAACTCTTCCAACAAACCTCGCACGTTTTTGACCCCTCGAAATATTCAGACGCTGAACTTGCATTTAATAATAATTACACAATGTTCCTCGCCGATATCCAGAGTAAGAGAAGAACTACCTTGGCATAGTAAAAAGTTGTTGGTTATTGACATACAGTGTATTACAAAGACCGTGTGCGCTTTGGTAGGTATCAATATCAATGGCCTGCTAGGATATCACGCACGCGTTTTGAAATCATTTCGAATATATGAAAAGTAGTTATGATAACTTAATACATCCAGAAAGTAATCACAATTATCACCTGAGATATGTGCTGTATGCAAGATACCTCTAGATTTATATTGATATGTGTGAGCCTAGCCCCGTAATTTATGTAAGTTAGGAAAATAAGTAAATTACCGTTTAATACTCGTTTGCCGCTTTATGACCTGTCTGTACAGGATGTGAACGTGCCGTTGACGGAATGGGTCTTGGGGGTGGCGCGGGGGGTGTAGGCGCTGGTGCGGGTGGAGGAAGCAGCCCGAATGGGGGAGCGTCGCTAAGTGGTTTTGGAAATGGCATTGGTGGCGGAGGCTGCGACTCGGGAAGTGCTGGAGAAGTATTTCCAGTTGTGATCCATTGTGTTGCCGAAGAAGGTGAAGAGCCCCGACAAAGTCACGTACTTCTAGCAGGTAAGATGCATCGATATATCTAATTCTGAGAAATATTTATATAGATCCTCAAATTCCCAAATTTGATTGAATCGAAAAAGGAAACACGGATAAGTGCCCCATAGAAAATGAGGCATTTTTAGGATTATTATTTTATGTTCGTAAAGTAATTATCATTAAAAGACTTAATTGAGTGCCGCATGTTCAATTGCGTGGTGTACCCAGTTAACACGATTTGAATTTTTTGTATCCTCACCGACGTACCCCAATCAGTTGTAGAGCGGGCGAGTTCAGCAATGATGGGTTCTGGGGCGGATTCCGGAGGAGGGGGCAGTATTTCGCAGCCAACTGGATCCAGTTATACTTTGAAGCCGCTCAAGCAGAAACTGTTCGTCGATGGACTCGTTTATCTCCTACAGGAGATTTACGGGATTGAGAATAAGAATAACATCTGTAGTAATAGCAATATACATAATGGATGCTCTCAGAACAATGGTTGCTCGCACGGTCTTAGTCACAATGTACGTACTTACTGTAATAATAACTGCGCGTATGGAACAATGCCCGTGTAGACAGAGTAAACTTTTGTGAGTTTAGGAAATTCTGTTGTTACTCTCTCTATTTTATTTCAGTGAATGACTTAATACGTTAGCTCAATTCACCAAATAAGTTTTTCAAGTAAATATGTAACATTATAGGGCTCAAAAAAGCGATTTCTAGCTGTTTTTTTCTGAAGTGCATTTTTGAATGATTCTTGAGCTTATCTCATCATTGTTTCCAGTTTTTTTTTTTAATATACATTATTTTTATTGAATTTTCGTTTAGATCCATGATTCTAGAAAAATTAATCTATTCTAAATGCCAGCGCGTTGATTTGCTCTTATTAGGATGACGGTGGCTCTTCTATCGATGGAGTCGGAGGACTGTGCGACGAGTCTGACTCCGAGGAAGAATCTGGAGGAGAATGCGTAATTTGTATGTCGGAGCCTAGGGACACGCTGATTTTACCTTGTCGGCATCTATGTCTTTGCGCAGCGTGTGCTGATTCGCTACGCTACCAAGCGAACAACTGCCCCATTTGCCGGGCTCCGTTCCGCGCCCTGCTTCAGATACGGGCTGTACGCAAGATGCTCCTTAGCTCACACCCTTCGGCTCATCTCAATAACGAACACCAACTACATCAAGTGCGTTTAAGTCAACAGTTGTTCGACTTCGCAATCCTTGAATTGAATCACTCGTTCATACACTTCTTTAGCAATAGCATAATAGGTTATTACAAGAAATCATGAAGCGCACTTCAATTCTAGTTGCGAACGCCTCCTTGACCAATGAATTTACCTATCTAATTATAGGTGTAATCAACTTCCCTAGACTTTAGCAGAAGCATCATCAGGCTTTGAATTACAGGTTGGGCAGGATGTCCCTGCTGGCTACGAGAGTATTCCGTTGCTTGAGGCTCTTAATGGACCAATGGGAGGGAATCAGGCTATGATCACGTCTCAAATTGGCCAGGCTGGTAAACATGTTCGCCTGCATGCGAACAGTTCCTCCGCGAATCCTTCACATTCACCGCGTTCCGAATGCCATCAACAGGTGAATATCGGCCTCGTTTAACACGCGTTACAACCTAATATTTATCGTAATGTTTGCTACTCAACTAATACTACTGATCTTACATATTTTAAATGCTCATTTTGCTCAGTTCCATATTATTTTAACCGGTATTTTTTCAGGGTGGCCCAGGTAAGAGGAGTAACGGGAGCGGGAGTGGCTCAGGCGGTGGAGCGGGTGGTGGAGGTAAAATAGGGAAAATGCATCGCAACAAATCAAGTTCTGCTGGGAGCCTTCGACACCAGCAGCAGCAGCTACAGACTCATAGTCCACTGAGGATTTCGGAGCAGATGGCTCTGGTTAGTAACTCGGCACGGGATGGAAGTGGAGTAAATTCGATAGGGCAGCTAGAAGGAACAATGACAATGCTCGGAACAGAAGAAAATCAACCGCTTGCTCGGGCCGAGACGGCGCCTCTACCTGGGAGACATCGAAGACACAAGGATAAGTTGCAGGGACAATTGCAGCAACAGGGTCGAGGACTGGGCAAGAGCGCCAGACCACATACAGCATCACACGCTAGTGCAACGTCTCTCGCCGTAAGTTACCAACTCGGAAATTGGCCTCACCTCGCTTTTCAGTGATGTGCGTTCGGATATGGCTTATGCGCTACTGTAAGCCTGGTACGAAAAACATTTTTTGTGACTCACACGATCTCGTCATCTCTTAACATTTGTCAAAATAGGTTGTAAAAAACTCAACAGAGAAAAAAAAGTGTATTAATATCAGATAAATTATGATACTTTGCATTAAGGGGAAATTCTATATCTAATAAACTGATCTTAATGTTTGATCTAAATCACACTTTTAAAGTTAGCATTAGTGATCTCGTTCTCCATCAGTCTACCTAAATAATAAATGTACTGAATGAATTGCTAGTGATTACGAGGCAATATGTTCACTTTTATTTATTAATATTGATTGTGAATAACTGAACGCAGTGCCTTCTATTTTATTTCAAATATCGCGACGATACGAATATCTTTATAATACAGTTTTGATACATCTGGGAACTATATAATTTGAAAAGATTTTAACTGAAAATAGAAATTTAAACTTTTGTCACGTAAGTAATCCAAGTTCTCTTTTTCTGAAAGTTTAATGTTATTTTTTTTGAAGTGTAATACTAAGAAGTGACGAGCCAAACGACATAATGTATATTACTCAAACAAATGCAACATGCTAGAAGTCATAGAAATGGTTATACAACAAAGGTCAATACTGTAATTTTTATTTTACGCTTAGTGCCAATTGCGCTATAACACTGGTTTGCATCAGTATGAACATGAACTTACGAATTTAAAAATAATTTTGTATTCTATTTTTTCGAATTCTTTGCATTGAGCTAATAGCATTATATACTTTATTTTTCAGATGGATAACTTGTCAGCTGAGAGTACATCTTTGCTGGACGGTGAAGATAATGGCAGAGTAGCGGGAGACGGAACCCTAGCCGGAGAGGGATGCGATCGGGGCGATTTCGGGGTACATTCTGCGTTCCCTCCCCCAGGATCGCCATCTCCCGCAGCCGCGACCGTAATTACAGTAGACCAAGCAACGGACACAAGTCTTGACAATCGGTGCGTTCTGAATGGTAACTAAGATATCTAAAAAGTCAGTTTCTGTTGGTCATAATCGTATGCAAACGTACCGGTTTCATTTTTCAAGTCTACTAAAATGCATTTTTATTCAGCCAAAGTAAACGAATATACAAACTTGATACAAGTTTCCAAGAATGTTCGAAATGTATGTTTTTACGTGGAACAATCGTTAATATTATGGGTTTTTTTTGCAGAGATCTTCATGGATCGCGCGAAGATGCCAGGGATATGGACATGCTTTTTCAGCGGAGGAAAGCCTTTCCAGATTCCGGTATGAGTTTTATTGGCTAACTGGAAACAGTGGCTATCGGCTTCCACTATATTTATCAAAGTACTGGGCAACATCGGTTATAATAAATATCAAACGTCTCTAATTACGTTCTTTCCGTTTTCTCTTTTCGATACTATTTACTGACTGGAAACAGGGTCGTGCACCGTACGTGCGGGCAGCGAAAGTGAGCCTGCAGAGTTGGAGCTCGTAGAACAAGTAGAAACGGGCCGAGTAGTGGCAGCCTCAACTTTGGCGTACGACTCAAGCGGTACAGATCTGCCCACACTAGCTCCAGGTCAGTATCTATGGTAAACGAACGCAGACGTTTAGCGTTCATGAATATGTACGTGCGCCCATAAGAGAATAGAATATAATAGTTGCTTTCAGTATACACATGATAGAGTTACGTAGGGCACTAGTAATGGATTGTTTGAGTTGTGGTGTCGTTATAGATGTACGGTGCTACATTAGCTTTCAACGTATAACATTTACAATGGCCCTATTCTCGTTAAGGTACCCCAAAATCAGGCTCTGCCCGTTCAAGTGCTGACAGTTTCTCAAGCGCGGGCTCAGGCACTCGTCTTCTAGTTAACGCTACAACAGGATCCTCGACAACAAGTACAGGTAAGATGCCAAAGTAAACTTCATTGGTGCTCATGTACTGTGCACTCCGCATGTTTCGCACTGTACCCGCGTTCTTCGAACTGTATACTTACGTTGTAAATATCGAACGGTCATTATTGACGGATATAAAGCATGTACCAAGCAAATAGCCTATGCAACCGATTTGAAAAGGCAACCATGCACTGATTAGAACGTACATTGCGGTTTACATATGTGACGATGTATCTTATGTTCATTACCAGGAGCTGGAGGGCATGCGGCTGTCACTGTAGTCACGATCAAGCAGCAACAAGTGAGGCCCACCTGTGGAGATACGGAAGAGGTTTAACGTCTAAGGACAATATGCGAGATGATCATCCCAGTCATTTTAGGTCTACGGCAGCCTCTTAAACCGTTTATTGCATTATTATGCTGGAACAAGGGATCTGTACATCCCGTAAAAGCGCAGCGTTTAACGCCGTAGACGAGACAGCTAGTGTACTGCGCAACAAAATGATTCACAAAAGCGTTGTGTGTAGCCGTTCAGAAGAAAACAATGGCTTTAGAAGTATAGTGCTTGGCTAGAGTTTAAATACATACGCAAGATACACCTCGCCCAAAACGAATATCCCCAATACGGCTTTAGGAACAAGATAATTCGTTAGTGGGCGCAAACAAATTGCTTACTAAATTCCGTGTGCTATTTTCGCGAAACTGAAAATATGAATGTGACATTTTTTCTTTTCATCTTATGACAAAATCAATACCGACTCTTATACGCCTTGCCGTACATCACCGTGTATGCTGTCAATATCGATTTGACGAATCTCGCCTAACTGTATCACTCAGAGAATGCATTCTTTTTCGTTTCGAGGAAGATGTTTCTGTGTCGTCAGCTTTCCATGTTACATTCCAATATTTTGTAATGTACCACCTAAACTCAGTAATCACTAGAAGAAGGCAGAAACATTACTGCTTGGATTATTATCTGCGTACACCTATCGGAGATCGTAATTAGGTGAAACCGACTGATTAGGTATTCGATAACATGATTACGAAGTGCCGACATTTTCTATCATGGGAAAACACTGGGACGACTACGAAGCAAGCTGCGACAAGTTTCGGCGAAGCGAAAAGCAAGTGACTAATAGAATTCACGAGTACTAAGAGTTTATATTTTTTTCATTACTGATTCACTTTACCAATCCACTTCGTTCATTTAGTGCTGATGCGGTGTTTTCTATTGAAAACCTCTATGAGAATTACGAGACGTATTTTTGTCATTTTGCGTTAGTTTTTACGTATTGATTAAGGTAGTGACACATGGTTTATTATACATTAGTTTATGTTGTGTCTCTCCATCTCTCTGTGATGCTAATATATATATATATATATATAAATGAAAGGTAGCTCTAAATACTTGTAACTAATTTTACTAATGCTACAATCGTTAGAATCTATAAGGATATATATATATGATGATGCAGATGAATAAATGCTTTAGCGCGAAACGAGCATATTATAAACACTTGCAATCTCAATTTCAACTCCATAAATCATATTCTGGACTGAATATGAACCCCCTATATATATGTGTGTGTGAGTCTCAGATGATTTTGTGTGATACGCCTTCGTTACATTCTATTAGAAATAAATCACTGCAGAGATGCAGCACTGCTATCTCGATTTTCCTTATGTTTTTTTTAAATGGGTGCCATAGGACAAAAGTCTAATTTCAGTATTAACGAAAACCTATAATGCGGTATGTGGACGCTTAATAAAGCTACAAGAAAGCCTTTCTATGCTCGAAATTCTGTCAATTTGTATCGAATACAAATTTCTATGTCTTTTTAGTGTATTGTTATAGCTTGGGAAAACGTACAAGAAAAGATTTCTTTATTAGGCACTCTTTTTTTCGCACTGTGAAAAAGGGGCGGGAAAAAACTATCGATTAGAAAAGGGAGTAAAAAAGGGAAATTTATAATGATACACTACGATAAACGGCTCCAGCTCTATAACGAAGCATTCAAACAGTAAACAACTATTTATCAACTAATTCTTTAAATGATAGTTTGATTTACTGGTGTTAATGCAAGCACTCGAAAGATCTGCGCATCCATGCCGCACGTTTTGAAGGATATAGCTAATTCATTCGCGCTAACTTTGTTCTTGCTAGGTGTGATAAAAAGCAAACCAATATATAAAGTATCAGTAACATATATCTTCAATTGACATAAGGGTTGCTTGAGTATCGTCATGACCGGTTGAACAATGCCAGCTTAACGCTTACAACGTGCGTCACAAAGTATAAAAGAAGTAAGCATTGCGGTAACGTTTGGTCAAATGAAAAGCATGGATGGTTAACACCAACAGTAAATTTACTTTTGAACAGCGAACACGAAAACAACGAATCGTTTTTGAAAATCCTGTTAAAGAAGTGGAACTGGTGATAGTAGTAGGACCTTTGGCCAGTCAACAACGAATACATCGATGCCAAACCGCCTAATCAATTGCATTTCAAGCGGCTCCTAGCTATGGGTAACCTACGTAACTATTCATAGTACAATTAGGTGCCAAATTGAATTATCTTGTGAGCGTTTGTAGCTGCAGTCATATCAGTAACCCTTGAATAAGCCTGGGGACCTACTTCATAGTATGTTCAACTAAGGTTTATTAGCGCCTCGTTGTTGATTCAATAGGTGATAAATTATCCTCGTGTGAGGAAAAACAACGAACTTGTACGTTATAAATCTCGTGGTTAACGGATTATTGTGGAATCCAAATCAATAGCAAATCAATCAGTTAGGTAAAAAAAAATCTGAACAGATCATTCGATTCTCTCCTTCGCGAAAAAAAACGACGTTTGTGCGCTGATATTCTTACATTAAATAAGGAATTGTACCTAAAAAAGCTACGACAACATAAGAAGGTGTATCGACTTCAAGCAATAACGAAGATAGATTCTTGCCGAGCTTTGACTCCATTACAAGAAATCCAACGTTTCTTAAGAAATACGTAGTTTGTGCTCACGCACAAACTTGGTGGTCTCCAAGGTTCAGGCCATTTAGTCATCCTACATTAGGTACTACGAATCTTGTCTGCTTTGACCATCGAACGTCCAGCTGCGGGATTAAGCTACTATGGGGCCGTCAAACGCAAATCCCACCACGACTAGCACAGCGTTAAACGAAATACCTGGCGCTACGAAATCTTCTGCTCCCGACGGAATTAAATCTCCAATTGTAAAAAGCGAGGCACTTAGGTTAGTTTTTATTGACTATTAAATGCATACATATACGTGTATATATATATATATCGCGCGAAAATTTCATACTATCAGTACTAGTGAGACGTGGTATTTAGATAGTGGTTGTGAGCCTGTCGTCATTTTTATCGTTTCAAGTAGTTCGTGACGGTACTTATAAAAGGCTGTGACCGCAACGCTTCTGCAGTCTGTCGACACAATTTTTTTAAATTTAGCGCCGTTTAGCAACGCTGAGCTTACAGAGCGTACATTAAATGGCTTATTTGCCGCAGAACCGTTCTAGATATAGATAAAGACTAAAATGAGATTTAACCTATGGTTAAAAAAAACCTCTTGCGTTGCAGTCAATGGAAACCCAAGTTCCAGATTATGAATCGACTGCAAAGTTTAAGCTTAAAAACTTTTCAAGGAAAGACTGAAATGGTCTATTTACCGTTCTTTAGGTAACAAGTAGGACTTAAACAGTGAAAGTTTGAAAGTTGTATATCTAAAACACTGTCGAGTTAAGTAATTGACATGCCCTGGTTTATCTTGTGTATAGATTATATGCGCAAAGGTCATGGTTTCGAATATTTTTATAACAGAAACTTTTCGACGTGCTTGTTTGATATTCGAAGATTAGTCGCTGAAAACATATGGCTAAATATGGTAAAATAGAGGATGCTTACGTAACGCCATGGTACTTTTGATTTTTACTAGATTATGTCAACGCTCGCGCTCTAATATACGGTTGTTTTTAATAAAAGAATGCACGATCTGGAAATTTTCGCGTTATTTATAGAATCTATTTAAGTCAAGAACGTGCACCGACGTTCAAGTTTTACTGGAAGAGCGTTTTCTCTTTGTATTGTATTTGTAAAACATATTTTATGTCAGATAAAATTTATAAATAAAAATTATATGTCAGAACATGTGTACGGGCTATACGATAGCCCATACACACATGCACTTCAGGTAGGTACTGCAATGGTTCTAAAAATCTATAGGATCGATGACGCTTACTTCAAGCAATAATTGGATCGGACTGGAAGGTAAGGAGGAAGTAATTGTATCTATCGTCGAAATTAATCATAAACTAACTAACATTGCACAATTTCTATCGATAAATAAATTTAACAGGAAAAGGGTCGGTACACCCTTTTCGTCTCCGAAAGCCGCTAAAGATCGCAGCAGTCTTGATGCCAAAAACAAGGCTGGCGTCGATTCATCGTCATCAGCCACAGGCGCAGGTTCTATCAGTGTCAGTGTTAATTCAAAGACCGACGTAGTCCCAAGTAGCTCTTCTATAGAACTTACGAAGAGTCAGACGGTTCTTTCTTCTGGTTCTGTCGCTGAACCAACTAGTGCGACCACTACATCCTCCGCAACGGGCGACTCGATATCGTCGAGCCACAGCAGGGAACGAAAAACAAATTTTGACGATAAAAAGAAAAGCTCACACGAACGCACTGGTGAGCTGTCAAACGCCTCTTGTATGTTAATATATTCTATTCAGTGAATATTATATTGCAATTAACTTAATCCACGCCGTACTATATAGCGGGAACACACGAAATATACGAAATCATATTTTACCAGTAATATCGTTATGCTCTATTGTGTTAAGGTAAGGGTAAGAGAAATAGGCTAACTATTGTAAATATTTAAAATTCCGCTATCGGTATCTAACTCCTACTCATCTTGTAATGTTTCGTATGTACGATGTTTTACTTTTATCGCGTGCCTTTCAGCGGACCCCGCATTAGCGAAGAAGAAAGAAGAGACACAACAGTTAAGAGAGGGAAAACGCAAACGCTCAAAAATTGTGTGGCTCATCGTTGTCGTGGCGTTTATAGGTATCGCAGCTGGGGTTGCCACATTAATAACTCTTCGAATACAAAGTGCCGCAGAACAGCAGAAGCTACAGCAACAACGGGCTCTAAATGCCACAGACCATGCTCCCAAAATAACTGAAGCCATAGCAGAAGATTTCAGTTAATGGTATGATTTTGTGATTTGCAAGACTTAATTAGAATATCAAACGAAAGGACAAAATATTCAGTAACCACTTATTCTGGCTTTACCCTTTACGGCAGCAAAGAACGATATGCTGGCGACAGGCTTTTGCCTGCTATTCGAAAAACCGTTGCTTTATCTATATATATTAAACTTTGGCATCTTAAAAATCTTTAGATTAGATATGCCTTTATTCGTCAATAAAATAAAGATCGAGCCGCAAGTCATTCGTGGGTCGACAGCGGCCAATAAGTAGGGTGCAATGATTTTGCACAATGCCTATTATCTAATAAAGGGCGTGCCTCTACCCTTAGTTTAAACCGCATTGCATGGACGGATTTTTTTGCTCTTTTTTTCCACGTTTTTTTCAGTTTAAGGTTAATAGCACATCATTCCCACGCTCGACGAAGAAAATTTCCTGGTCTATTTATATGGATGACTGTCTGCAGAAAGTTTAAGAAGCCTCCAGATCATCTTTTATAATACACGAACTCAAGAGTGTTTTAACAATGCTGTATTTTAACAACGGTAGCGAAAAATTAGATTTAAAAGTATCAGCTTAATAAAAAAAAAGTTATGCTTTTGTTATTTCATTCCATACTATGCGCACACGTTTTGTGTAGTCAATCTGTGTTACTTCATTCATACTATGCGCACACATTTTGTGTAATCAGTTTGTCTCAGAACAGACTTGTAAGTATGAAATTCTCATGTATTCTTTTATAGCGGGGCATTGTAATCCATTGGTTCCATTTTTGCGACGCGTGAAACGTAGGAAGTTCGTTATTGAACATCGTTTGTCACATTCGTTGGCCCGCTGAACAATAGCTCATCTTGTAACATTAACTAGTAGAAGCTGTCAGCCCATGCTCCTGAAGTAGCGCACCACACAGATGAAAAGTCGGATTTTCCGGCTTCTTTCAGATTCCTATATGCGAATTTAGTGCTAGCTGCAGTGCGCGAAACTATGAAACTTCTGAGAATGTCAAAACCGTTACGGAGGATTAAGGGGCCCAGAACCGTTACGGAAGGATTAAGGGGCCCGATGTCTTCAAGAAATTCTGACATAGAAATATTAAATTCGTAAAGCCGTAAAGCGGTTTTTTCTGGTGATGAAATGTCCAGTCTAATAGAATAGGAACTCAAAAGGCATTTCTCACCACACTAAAAAGCCAAACTGTTGAAGATATCATTATTGGATTTTATAACAAATATATCTGTAGTGTTTCCAAGGCGATTTCCATAATCTCAAGGGAACACGCAGTAAAAACGCATGGCCGAATTCTCTAGTGGTCCTGTCCTCAGTCCCATGATAATATATGCCTGTGTACTCAGCGGTTTACTGGGTCTCGCGCAAACACAAACGTTTCTTCGTGGCTTTCAGTCGGAATATTGTCGATTCGTGTGGGAGCGCTATATGTTAACAACCTAGATGTAATCAATGCTATCGGTGTAATAGTAACTATAATAATAGACAACTTCTAACGTTTCGTTTGAACTCTTTGTATCGCATGTAACACGTTATATTTTAACAATTTTACATACTTATATACAAAGGCATATACAAAAAATCTGATGTTGAGCTTTTCGTGTGTCTGCCTTAAATCTTTGTTTCTCGTGTTGTTTCGCAAAGCTTCCACTACTTTGATGTTAGTTTGTCAGAGAAATAGAAATCCAACATTGTTATTTACTAGGCTAGAATAATAGAATTTTTTTTAATACGCGATGTCAGTATACACATAACCTCACAGATAATGAAAATCGTTGTAGTGCCTCTTCTAATTAATTAGAGACAGACAATTGCCAAGAGCACTGCGTTCCATAGCTATGTTCCACAAATAAAATTGATTTGTACTTTTTTTTTATCACACATTGAAATCTGCTTACAAGCAAAATTTTTGCTGACAGAAGCTTAAAAGCAAGATGGCGAAACTAAAGAATGCAGTAAATCCAAAAGTTCAAGGAAGCTTTGGCAACACATATATATAATCATTACGCGGAATGGGTTTTACATGAAAATCTTCTCTATAAAACAGTCCCTCAAGTTATTAGAGAGTCAATTATTGCATTAGCTTATTCGGGTAATATTTTTCTTCAGTACGCGATGACTCAGCTTTCTATAGGGCGAACAACTGAAGCCATCTTGCCCTGAAAGTATGGAAAACAACTCAATTATTACTATAACACTTCGTCGCACGTACTTGCGCGAAATTACGCAAATTTGAAAACTAATAAGTGTCGACCAGTGATGGAAAGAGTTCGTTTTTCGGTAAGTAACCAACGTTTTTTATATAAGTTACATGCCCTTGGAATGTTTTTGCTAGGTATATTAGATAATGGAAGACCTAATAACAATGACATGGTAACGTTGCACAAAATTGCTTTAGCTATGCCTGCCATACACCAGACCGTATGACGCTCAAGATTCTAATTTTAAAACGATGAATTTAAGTTAATGGACCCTCAGTACGTAATACGTTACCTTCTTTTCGTGCATTTTGCGTAGAAGTCTTTCTCGCAATTGTTGCTCTTGCATGAGGAGAAGTTCTTTGGCGCTAGGAGCCCGAACAGATGCAGCACTGCTTTCGTAATCTTTCTGCTAAGCCGAAAGCAAATATGTTTCTATTGTAGGTATTTTCAATTGGTAGATATCAATATTATCATGAACTAGTTAGCCGATATCATCATAAATTATGACCAATATTTAGAACAAAAAGTAGTTAACGTGGTTCGATTTTAATAATAGCTTTTTACAGCAAATCACAATATAGTTTTCTTAAATACATACCGCTACTAACTGTATAAGTCTTTTACACAGTCTGCGGGCTTCCTCCCTTAACTGCCTTTCGTCTGATTCAAGTTTGTTTTTCTTTAGTGCTTCTTTTTCTTCTCGCATTTTTCTGTAGAAATCAACAAATAGTTCAGCTCATTAAGAAGATTATCGGCATGTGGTCTTATAAGGTACGGTTATAAGTGGTAGCAAATGATAATCGCAGGCATATACTACTGTTTAATATACTATGCGCATCTCTAAGAATAGGACATTAGCCTCTCATTTATTATTATTATTATTATATTATTATTATATTATTATATAGTTATTAAATAACTCTATAAACATTGAAGCCCTAGTATTCAAAGTAAATAAGGCGATCCATGCTTAATAATAAATATAATATTAGAGAATTGCGCAACCTTTTTAACTGCTCTTTCCGAATGACATTAAGAAGATTTTTTTTAGTTTTCGCGTTTTGCATTGAACGCGCACGAATCTTCGCATCAGAGAGGTGTCCTGTCCTGAAAAATATTGAAGCGAAGCCCAATTTCATTGTCTACATCAAAAGCTCCTTCTGTTCCTATTGATCGGACATTTTCATCTGATATTTAAAGTCATCTTCCAGAAACCCTGACATAAATGTTTGTATTAATTTATTTTATTATAATGATATAGGTGTACTTTTCCTGTGCAGACGACTGAATATGTGTATTCTTATTTATATAGCTAGATTTTACATTATGGACGTAACCCAAAGATAAGCTTGTTAATTACTTGTCGAAATCAACAATGATGTTTGCCGTTAAAGCTGACGACGCCGTGTCGCTTCGATCTCCACGCAACGGAGGTCGATAAAGCAGCTTCATTCCCCGTAAAGCATCCATAGCTTAAAAGCAACCAAGACACACTTAGTTACTTCAGGGGCCAGAATTTGGTTATCTTCATAATGACCTTGACATGACGGGATTTTTTTGCAATAAAAACTCTTAAATAAAAATTATATGTATTGCGGTGAAGAATCATTGTTTGGAGAAATATTATACCGACGAAAAATCACCTTTAACGAAACCGACGTATTCGCGATACTGTACATAGGCATCAAATACAAGATCGCAACTTCCAATTTTGCCAAAAGAATCTTCGCCAGATTTTAGTTTCTCCCTGAAATTAGGCATATACTTTATTATAATGTATACATTTCCATGGTAAGTGAAAGAAGTTTTAGCACTAAAATTAGAAACCAGAATGAATAATATAGAAATTTGTTTTTCATTAATATATATAAAAAGTATGTGCTTTCATTCAAAGTAGGAAACGATAACCCGCCACTGCATTTAGCTATCTTCATGTGTTACAGGTCAATATTAATTTCGAAAATTTTACTCCACGTCTAACGTGTTGAAGTCATATTTATTTGGATATGTATGGATATAAGACCATCAGTGCACTAACAAAATCATATTCACTCAAAATAAATTTGCCACTTTGATTGCCAGCAGAAATTTAAACATCAACAAATACCTGTCTCGGTGGTCAAGGATAGGTATGTCAACGCATCGGACATCAGCAATCGCTCTGAATACGCGATGAAGGACTGTAAGACTCGGATGAATGTCAGAACTTCCGCTGGAGGTCTCACGTTCTGCAAACCTGCGATAAAGTGAATTAAAACATAATTTATTATTTCTGAAGGCAAATAGTTAGACGCGATCGTGATATAATAAAAGCCTCAGTTTCTTATGAATGTCGAAGGCCAGTTTTGAGCTTCGGATATTTTTTTTCCGTATGAAGAAGACCAATCAACACGAATATATTTGCTAAAGCTTTCTTGAATGCAATGCGGAAATTGAAGTAAAATGGAAAGTTAGATTTACCAGTATAGCAACAAAGAATGCAATGACACTCACCATTTAATAGGTAGGCCTTTAATATGCAGCGTATCGGGACGCTCGCCCGGTCGCATTTCATCGAGGCCTTTGGCGTCTCGAAAGAAAGCTTCCCAGTCATGTCGAGACGGGAAAACTAGTTTAGCTTCACCGCAACGCACCCGGGCGGATTCGGGCCAACCTCAAATGTAACAATGCGAATATCAATGTTACTGAATGCAGGATAATATGAATGAAATTATTTCTTAGTTGAAGTGAAAAATGACAATCTAATAGTAACTAATGTTGAACTAAATCACGGATACGGTCACGGTAAGCGCATATATGCATTACTTTTAAATACCTTGAAGCTTTATAGCCGTATCCATGCGTTCAATGAGAAGCTTGAGATCCTGCCGGTTTGAAAGTTCTGCCTCGAAACGTACGATGTCCATTGTTGTCTTCGATACCCGGAGCGAGACCAAAGTTATTGGACGAGCCACCTCGCGAAGCTTTTCCTAAATCAAGTAAGTGTGCAGTAGAGCGGTAAAAATAAAAACAATGGTTTGATATACCACATCGTTAGGAGTGTCAAAATACAATCGGGGTGCATTACTGGTCTTATGGAATATGTCCTGCGCTCTTTGTAGATAGCTTGCTTGCCTATTAACTTATTAAGAACTAAAGAAAGCACCAACAGGCAACTTGGAATAATTGTCCTTCGTCGATAAACGGATATACCGCAAATCGAATGTCTGAGATTTTGATCCGGATTAAGCCTTCACTAACCTGAAGTTCCCAATTGGATACCGAGATGCAGTGTTTGGCGAGCGAAGCAGGAAGCAGCAAAGTGATGTTGGCTCGACAGATTGGCTTGAGGTATAGGCCCACACTGGGCTCCAGTTCGACTGCGTCCGAGATATCTGTGCATGAGTGAATCGAGGCCATATCGACGGGAGTGCCGAATTCGATTTCCGACAATACCCGCTCAAGGTCCCCGAATGTGCTTCAAAATCCCACCCGCTAAATTAACTAAAGACTAACCCTCTAATTCTCCTGACGGTAAAAACAATTAATAGTTCTAGATGATGACCGTCAACTTCCCACTTCAAGAGAACTAATAAATAAATACTTCTTGCAGATAATCCAAAAGGGAAATTGTGTAATAGTTGTGCAATCAAAAAGTAATCTCATGTATAACGCATACAGTGTCTACATCCCTAGACCCTACTCAGAAGCTCTCCATCTGCCCATTAACCCGTTTACATGTTATCGCAAAAAATGTTATAATGCGCCGCTATCATATCATAACTTTGTTGTGCGTTGTTATTGTTCCTTTTCGAATTCCAATGTACAAAAAAATATTTAGTTTAGCGATCCTCTGGGATTACAAAACAGCTGTTAATTCCGGCTCTGAATCGGGAAGAGGCTATGGCTTTAATGAATTGACGATTGTATAAGTGGCTGGGATAACTTCTATTTAGCCCTTGCTAGACAGAGGCTAACTCACGCCCTGGCGTGCACTAAGATGAACGGCGGTAGCTTTGATGAGCATGAAACAATATCACCGAACGGTAGAAACAGGTAAAGATTACTTTGTCACTACCACCAACGCCACAGTACTCGTCCCATTTACCGCATTCACCGCCAAATGGACATCACACATTGGCAAACACGGCAGCAGCAGTATCAACAAGAGACTTTTTTTTTGGAATCGATCTGTTTTTATTGTTGTTATTAGCGAGTAGCAGACGATGACTGACTTCTGCTTTAAAATCCTCATGCGATGGAATATGCATTTTTAACAATCCCTCTTCATTATTGGATCAGCCAACTTTTCTTTAGGTTCTTCTCATTTCGCCACCGCAATGTTTCGACATTTACAATGAATGGGTTATTCACAATAGAAATTGTATTTGAGAAGTACTACAATTAAGGCAACTGTCACGAGGTAAACGTTGCTAATAGTTTAACGGAATTAAGGAAAATAATTACTAAATAGAAATGCTGCATTAGAACCTTAGAAGAACTGCAACCAAACAATTGTAAGACTAGAGGTTTCAATCAACCTACAGCTCATGTTTGGCTAGGTGTAATTCGATTTTATAGCAGAGTTGATTGATAAAATGACTACAAAAGGGTAACGGATTCGGTAGTTACGATAAACGTAATAATCGTTGGCGTATGCTATAGTTTAAGATAGGGTGAGTATATCAGTGAAAAAAAAAAGAGTTAAACTGACGGAAAATACACATGATGGAAAGGCCACAAGTCCACCGAGTTTATCTACACCTATTAGTCTTTTATACTTATCATTCTACTAGGGGTCAAGCTAAAACCAATTCAAAACGACCCTTGAAGTGCACGAATTGGGCCAAGAATTCTATTAATAAGAAAGTGTGCCCAATATGTGTTGGATCCAAAAACTGTGTTAAAGCTATATTGTGGGGGAAGCTATTTATTACGTTACCTTTATTATAATAAATATAATTATTATTAATTAGCCTTTTATTTCTACACAGGTAACGTAAAAAATGCTTAGTAGTAAGACAGGCACAATATTAAAAAAAGGCTCTATCTGTTTTCTAAACATTTATGTTAGTTTGTCTGTCTATCGCTTCCAAGTCACACCGTAAAGCGGCCTGTTGGACTTGCATGTTTTCGTGAGTCGTTAGAGAATCATCCTGGAGAAAGCTGCTCATAGGGTGGAGCTGATTAAATCAATATTTAGCAGCCGAAGAAATTTATTTCTCTTATCGAGCATAATTGGATAAACTGACTCTTTTTTGATGACTTATTTAACGACGATCGCTGAGAATTCGTAAGTTCTCACATCACAACAAAATAGGCGCGGGACAAGACCTGCAGGCTCGTCTAATGATACTTAATATATAGCTCAATTTAATGTTTCATCAAGGATGAAACATACAGTTCATGAAATATTTCTACTAAGCCAGCAATATTTGCTCTCATAGTAAATGTTTTTTGAGGGTCAAATTTAAAACGTCTTTTTGAAGACGGTGTCCCAGTACGTTGGATCTGCCTAGGACTTTGGGATGAATTGGAAAGAAAAGAAATTACGAATTCAATCAAAGGATTTGCTTGCTTCAGCGTTTAAGGGACTCGGTTTACGGTGACAATTGTGCTATCTAGGACGTACAAACCAATTATTTTAACCAACTGTAAGCTCTTCAAGCTACTAGATAGGGTTACAACGGCTCAATTTGTTTGCATCTCCCATTGATGACCGTTACCACAAGCTGTGCCTATGATTTTAATGCTGGCATATCGGCTACGCTTAATCTGGCTTCATAGTCTGTCACAGCTTCTCGTACTTCTTACAGAGAGCTCTTTTTTACTTTGATAGTTTATTATGACAGTTTGTAAAATCCGTTTTCCGATTGTGAATCTCGGAAGTGACGTGTTTCACTACCCATCGTGGCCTCAGGCTTTTCAAAGCCTTTTATGTTCGCTGGATGATTCTTTCGAGCATTCAACTGCACCTAAAATCTCGTAGTATTGCACGTGTTACATTGTCAAAAATCTGCGCAATCGTCTGCGAAGTCTATATTGTACATCGGCAATATGGAAATGTGATGAAATCCAGCTGGTAGCGTTTTGACGGGCTCAAACAACATATGATACGAAGTCATTCTGGTTAACTGGCTTTTCTTTAACTGCAATAACAAAGTCCTGAAAAGCCAGCCTGTTTTGACATTTTGATAATAATAATTATAATAACAAAAGCCATAGTGGATGCCTAAAAAGTTGTAGGAAGTGAAGTAAAGTGTAGAAAGGATATGTGGGAGCGTCTTGTCTAACGACCGTGGACTTCTTCTATGGTTTAGCCCAAAGGCGGAACAGCACTAATATATTGACCGTTGATATAGGCTCATAATAGGAGCGTAATGGATGAAGATCAAAACTCGGAAAGGTAGGCTATATTGTACTCAACGACATCTTTCTATGACACCTGCCTGATAGTTGTCATTTGCTGTTTAAGTTGCACAAGCTAGTAATTTTAACTGGTGGAATTCAAACTAATAGTTTGAGTTATGCTGGCGAGAATTCCTTTAACTCTAGCGGAACGTGCTTAATACTTGTGACATGGTAATACATTGACAGCCCTTTGATTTAAAATGTGATCTATATATTAATATAGCGGCCAATGACTCCTATGCGACCTACGCAAAGTAGGCTATGAATGCCGACATTTTAGGCATGGAAGCTATAAATTCATAGGCGCTGTTGAATTTTGGAAATATTGGAATCTGTTTTCTTTGTACTTCTTAAGTTCCCTTGAAGGTTGCAGATTCATAGGAACAGGGTGTTTGAAAGATGTCGCAACGAAGTTTGACGGTAAGAACGGTAATCTTCCGTAAAATGTTTTTTTTTCTATATAAAGGGTAGAGGTAGTACCATGTACTTCTAAATAAGGAAGATTCCAAATAAGAAAATTTCCAAAGGTTTTTATAGACGCCGTCGAACGATGCTCCAAATTCCACGAGCTCTATCAAATTTTGCCGGTAAAAACTCAGACTAAGCTATTTTTTATTAATCGTTTTTCGTTTTTTTTTAAATTAGAAATATTATGTTTATATGGTGTAATTATGTGCGTACAGAAAAAAAAATAAGGAAGATATAGCGCCGAAGGCCACCTTCTAAACTCTCAGACTTTGGTTAATCTCTTATAGAATTGCATAACTTACTTCATGTATTTCCACATGGCTTGCCTGCCGGTCATGTGCAGAAACGCCAAAAAAACAAGGTCACACGCTGCGTAAACGTGTGGGCATACAATTTTAGTAACATACTCTTTCGGTACCAAACGATGCTGATTTGATAAATGAAGAAACTCATATACGTACCCATAACTGACACTAGGTTTTTGCTTTTGATAGCTCAAATCTGCATACATATTCTTCTTCTAACAATGAACTAAGGCCTTGTAAAGTACACCCAGTAAGATAATAAAATCAATAAATTTCGGTATTGTATTTGAAGATATATGCATTTAGATTTTTAAATCCAGTAATAAATTTTGCAATTGGCTCGACTTCAAGCACCATAAATTCGAAAAAAAGGATATAGTTGTTCCTAATCATCTGTAGTACCTTTTCTATTATCAGTCGAAGCCTGAGTGGATCAGGACAGTCCTCACCACAGCCGCAGTTCAATAAGCAGACGTTCAATGCTGGCGAATATACTGGCCACCACAACGTGCTCATAGAGAGCAAAACATCTTCAACAGATGGTAAGTTGTCTTCTGCTTGACGTGTTACCTTTTTGTTAATATTTAAATGGTTTTCTTCTTGATATTTCACCTGATGGCGATTAATTGTTTCCATTTTTTTTCTACAAACGACGTAAAATACAGCATATATACGACTAATAAGTAAGTTCCCAGTGTTATAGCATTTGATATGCAAAGAGGTTTATGGCCGAAGAGATTTTCTCCCGGTTAGTACGCCCTGTCCTGTGGCCCATAGGAGTATCTAACACGAGACCACTGGACACAAATAACCTGTGTAATGATACCACTTCTCCATATATGTAGTAATCATCATTATCATCGCGATTAGATAAGTGTTTTTTGCGATAAAAATCTGCTTTCAAGTTAAATTATAATAGGTTAATTGCTGTTAGGTAAGTCTGTAACATTTATACATCACAGAATCAAAGCGCCCAACGAGACGGAGAAGACGGACTCGGACAAGGAGGGTTTTCTTGACCATGGCGATGGTCGGACTTTTCGCTCTTGCGGTTCTTGCTGGCGTTGCAGTGCTTTGGGCTATCAACGTTGAGACAGATACACGTGAAGCTCAGCGTAACGTAACGAGTACAACTAGAAGACGGCGGGTACAATAGAACAATGGCTGCAACGAACACAACCAAGATGCCACTGTGTAACCATCTATTTCAAGTAAACTAGTATTCCTGGATAATGTTTGTACTTATGTAACATACTGAGATGTTGCAAGCGTCGAAAAAGCATGGCAATTGTATGGACGTGCCGTCAGATCCTTTGTCACCAATGTTGTTATATCATCACATCTTGGGTACCTTTAGTAATATTGACAAAATGATACTACTATAAGGTACCTATCACTATTAAATTTTTTTTTGTATGGGGACTGTATCTATGCCCAAGCAATCTAAACTATTAGAGCATATGGGTACGCGTTTACTTTGTTGTGTGGAGCTGTCATAATCTAATTATCTTCCTTATTAAATGAACAGGGTATTTTATTATATTCATTCTACTGGTTGGACCGACGTACGCCATATACAGCTACTGGCATACCATAAAAATAGCTGATTCAGTTATAACAGGCGATTGACACTATTGTCAAATTATTCCCTTTACTTAAAATGATATCGAGTCCAAATAGATATGTAAGTGGTGGTTAAACATAAGAGCAATAAACTATTGTCGCAATCTGAATATTTACAAGAAACCTTTGATTCTTTGCAAGCGTGTTATGGCTCATCCTTTGCTCATCTACTAGCTGTTCTTGCCGTTTGCGACTAGCTTATTTTCGAAATTCCAATAAGAAACGTTATATGATAGGAAAAAAGGCTTCCTTTACATATTTAAACGCTATTTAGATTTGAATGCATGCTGATTTTGTCCTGAATTATCCATTGATTTGGGACAGATGTGATATAAGATGGTTGTATGGGCCCGAACCAGCGACTTAGTTCGGACTCCCGTTATAAAGTTTGGGCTGGCCAGACAGAAACAGATTGACATTGATCTAGAGAGATGATGTTGAATACGCGAGTTCCCCTAAAGGATGTTTTTGACGTGAAGCTGCCCAGCAGCTCCGGTTATTTGTCTAGGATGCTTAGTTCTTGCCCTGTTGCTAAGTGCTCTAAGTAATCTAAACTTACTTCAAAATATCTTCACTGCTGTAAAGGAAGAATTACTCAAAATAAGGGAATCATTATAGATCACTTTTTCATTACAGCTTGAGATTTTGATTCTTCAAAAATGTCTTTACCTATTACTTGGTGCTAATGATTACATTTTTGTGAAGCTGTTTGAATGAGTCGTCCGGTGGTCGGTGAAAATTATCTACTATATAATAATAAGTGATGGAACATAGCCCCAATAGGTCTGAAGATTATGCAGTTCCTTACAGAATCTTCTTGAAACCCGTTTTATTTAACAACTTGAATCCATCGGCGTGTGTATGTTATTTGTGACTGATTTAAGTTTCGAAATATGAGTAAGCATATAGTATCAACTCCCTAATTGTGACGGTCCTAATGCTAATTCATTGTTGAACTGAGACGTAACTTAGACATATTCTTAATACTTCGTCGTCCCCAAGATGTCAAAATGTCATTCGTAACACGTTAGTCGCCGACTATTTAAATGCAAATCGATACCTCAACTCCATCAGCGGTAAGTTCTGATCTTTTCAATAGGCAATTTTCGTTGGAGTGTAAGGTAACCGAAAATGCAAAGGAAGGACCCGAACGTCTCGCAAGCTAGCTAATTACTTCATAGTTATTTTGAAAAACACACGTAATAATAAAGAAAACGTTATTGTTTATTTCAAGCATATTATCTTAGAGCCATATTCCAGAAAACACATAGAAACCCCATATCCTCTTAGAAACACTTGTTTTGTTTGGAACACAGTAAAGAGTGCTTGTGTAGCGTAGATGGGAAACGCCTACGTATACTTAAATTTGGTTTTATGTTTATTGGTTAGTATATTGTTCCCTACGTACTAATTAAAAATGGATCAAATTTATTTTTCGCGCCTTATGTTAAAATCATGTATTGTATATATAAAAAAAGCTGGAGTAAATCTACGACAATGGACGATGACGTCGATTTATGGTTGAGAAAAAAGCTTTGAGCAAAGGCGTAAGCAGGTGTACAGTTGGAGATCAACCTATCTCGGCTATAGACGCTGACTACTATATAGTGTTTCATATCTAAATGTAGCTTACAATAATAATACAACATGCTTCAAAACTCGGCTTGTCTAAAAGGGTCCGGGTTTTGCAAAGCAAGTACGAATAAGAGAAACCCTTAAAGTAGTTAGTCGGGTAGGCTTCGATTATGTACCTTCAGACGTGAAGGGACAAGGTACATCGCATTTGGGTTAATTTTACGCAGACCGCTATTCTGCTTTCGACATTCCTTTTAGAACAATCATAATTTATAAAATTCTGATCTAAACCATGCATCTTGAAGACAAAGCAAGTTAGCAAAGCAAAAAATTGAAGCAGGTTACGTTTCACAAAGTGAACATTTCACGCGCTACTCATCTCTTATTAAATCTTAGTTAAAACCGCAAGCAAAAGGGGTCCGCACAAAAACTAATTGGAAAACGCCTGAGACCTACCGAATTAAAGGTTCTCACGAACGGACCAAATTGCGCCACTGTTCACTTAACACCCCGCACTCCCCCTGAAGAGAGTAACGTGGAAAGGGCAGCGTGAGTTAATTCAGTCTTTTGTCGTTATGGTAACGCAGAGACTGTCTCGTACCTGATCCGGCGTTCTTTACCGAACGACTTTTAAGCTTAAAGTGAGTATTAGATCTCAAAAAAACAGTAGTCGAGACTAAATATGGCCTATAAACTATATAATCTAAATACCTGATCAGTGCAGACTTTGTTTTTATAACCTAATTAGGTTTAATTAGTGATTAAAAAAAAGGACAGGAACTAGCAATGCAATTTTCGCTAGAAGTTATTATTGTAGACACGCAATTGATTATTGTTGTTATTATTACTCATGCTTACTTCGTTTAAGAAAAAGCTAACTTATGGCCAAGTGAAAATTGGCTAGTGCGGTCTATTGTAAATATATGTATGCGCAGTTCTATTTGCTCTTTAGTTTTGCTCTAGGCACCTAGACATTTCGGAGGACGATCTTTAATATAATAGACCGAATGGTTTGAATGATAACCGCATCAATCATTACAGATACTATTCATTTTAGACGCCCCACCTATTAAGCAAAATTAGCTAATGGAAATGTCAGCTGCTACAGAAGTTTTGGCTGAATTGGGGCTGTTCGTCGATGAACAAATGTCGCAACTAAGACTGCTCGACCCGCAGAACGATAATTCAACTCTGCTTAGAGAGCATTGCAAGTACGGAAACCTTCATTTACGTTTCTCACTGGTTATTATACAATGATTATTTACATAATTGTTAATAACATCACATATTTATAGGCTATTCAGTAACTCAAGCCAATAAACTAAACACGATAGCACTGTGCTGTGAACTTTGTTGGACACTGATTGATCCCAAATTATTTAAAGTGAGGAGCTAATTTGCAGACAAGAGAATGCCCCTTTGTGGCATAATTCTGGTTCTCTGTCTCAATTTTCTCTTAGGAAATATTAGCTTTATCGGCGCTATTTAGCGGGTAGAAAATATTTGCGTAAAAAATAAATTAGCGTTATGACAAGATCAAATTTGGTGGGTATTTATATCAGGTCTTTGGGTGTCTACTACTATAAGCTGATATGATGCCATCAAAGATTAATGACTTTAGAGACGAAGAAATTGTTTATTGCTGAAAATCAACGTTTAGTTAAATTTGTTTTTCGAAGGTGAGAGCGCCGGTGGACCCCATCGAAAATTGCCGAAAATACCACGCAATGAGGCCCTTAGCGATATAGCAGTTCTAGACAGACGCAACCATTTACGAACGGAAACTCGAACATTGAAGACCGCATAGGAAGTGGCTACACGTGAGGACTTAAAGCGGGCAACGAGTCGTTATGATGACGGAAGCAGAACAAAGCATAGCCATTGAACCTCATTTTCATTCCATCTGAGAAATATGCGCATGTGATCTGAAATTGCGATGAAGGCACTAAGAACAAAAAAAAAAGCGAATGGTGGATTTCGGACGAATTAAGTCCAGGACAAATGAAAAAAACGCGTATTGTGCTTTGGGAACGGTTTTTTACTAGCAGGATATCCGCTTAGATTACACTGTCGCCGTAGACCAGACATGGCTTTGTTTGTGTTATCCACCAGAAAAGAATCAACAGTATTGAACAGGAAAGAAAGTGATTTCGATGGCAGTACCAGATCGGTACTCGCGTAAGCTAATGCTCTTGTTTGCCACTCCACTCTGCTCCTTCACTATAACTCCGTTGAGTTATTCGATAACAATACACTGCGCCTTATCGCCATGCTGCAATCAGGGCCTACATCAAGGAAGCCAGGCTCGAGCGATGGTTGTGCTTCCTAGATTCTCCAAATATAACTCATCCGTCTAATTTCGATTGCTTTCTTGTCTTAAAGAGGGCGATAGGTGGCGTAGCGTGTCCTACCGTCGATTCTCTCAGACAAGTTACCCATAACAAGATTGGGGGTGGTAGTGCAAACTACAAATAGATGGCCTTTAAGGAACTTCGAAAACGCTGGCTTCAATGTGTAAATAACAATGACGATGATATCTAGGATAGTCCAAAATCCCACCGTTCCAATAGTCCAACATTATAATGTCTAAGTTATTTTTTTGACCCGCTAAATAACTCCAGATAAGCTGACATTTTTTTGTGGTACATTTTACATACACACATATACCACTAATGTAGTCGTGAATAAGTGTACAATAATGCATTTTGTGATATTTATGTTTCCGTGGTACGTTTTATACGATGAATATTTGTCATACTTTGACAGTTTGTTCCAATTGTTTCAGGAAATTCCTTTCTCAAATGGAAACCTTTAACGAGATTAGTGAAAAATTCTTAAAAGTCAGCGATGATCTTAGTAAGAAGGTGGACGAAGAACGACTAAAGGTAAATATTGTCTGTTTAAAGGTATCTTAGTTATTATTAGTACTATTATAGTCCCTTTTTTTAATATTTTCAGTTTGCAGCTCAGGAAATGAACAAGGTAGGCCTAGAATAAAAAATCAAAGTTAAACGTGGACAAACTCGAAATTAATTCAAGACTAAATAATATAATTAGGTAATAACTCAATAATTTTTGAGTTAATTAATAAAGTTCAGTAAATAACGGAACTCCTACGGGATAAAATATTTAAAAAATTTTATTAGTATAGCGATCCTTGGTGTTTGCGAAAAAAAAATTTAGGTAAAAATAGATTGCTGAAATAGTGGAAAAGCAGTATAAGGTAGAGGTTCCGTATAATAGAGCCCGTGGAGAATGCATGGGACGCCGCTTTTGGCAAGCGCTCAGTGTGATGCCGAACTATACAGCGTAGCCAATGGTGTGGCCTGACACTGTGGTCTGTACAAATAAACGTTCAAACTCATTTAATAGTAAACTGCTTATTTTGTGAGCGACACGAAAATGCAGCTTACCATCTACAGAATTGACAATCGAGGACCCTAAAGTGGGAACTTAATTAAATCGTTAACAACCGAATCGTATCTTGAGTTTATTCGAAATGTTAAATTATGCGAAATGTTAAATTATGGTGTTTTTCAACAGCCGTTGAATTCTATAGTGAACTTATGATAACGTAAGGACAGCGGTCTCTATCACCCAAAAATTAGATGTATTTTAATAAGACCAGATTTTGTTCAAATGATAAAGAGATTAAAACTATTAATTTATTAAGCTGATTCTGCTATTGTACAATTTTAATCGTTTTTAATCATAAATTAATGTGTAATATGTTCAAGAAACATTACCAAGCAAAGAGTAGGCTAATTTAGAAAGTGCCCGAAACTTGCCGAAACAAGATTTAGAATATTAATAGTTTTTTTTTTTTTTTAGGAACTAATTAAATGTGCTGCAGACAGAAATTATGATACATCTTTTATAACATACGCCGCGTTCGCTTTCTTCTATTTCTCTCAATACGTCGAAATAAGTTACGGTTAATATTTACTATTTCGTAAATCATTATACGATTTGAAATCAACATACGTCTATTTATTATTGAATAAAACCGCAACTATCTCATGAACTACTCATCTTCAATTCGCTAAAAAATTGAAATCAAAATGATATCGTCATGTTAGCTGACCTCGCAAGACTTCGATTTGCCTCCGAAAGCTCTGGGAGTTTCAGCCCATTTCTGATGCTTGATTTTTCTGTTAATAATTGCGAAGTCACGACAGTTCTAAATAGCGCCGATGACGCTCTGCGGAACCACCAGATCCTCCTTTCCTTGCTAGCACTTTTGGATATTTCTCCAGTTAAAATTTTCAAAAAAAAAATACTCATCTGAAACCTAAGAGTCCTGTTGGAAAATCACAGTCGACCACTTCGTCCTATTGTACCAAGGCTTTAAAAGAGGCAGGTCAATTTATATTTCAGTTTTTCTTCACGGCTGAAGTAAACAGTGATTACCGGAATTGAAAGCCTTCAATCCTGCTAACTACTGTTTACTTGCTAAATATCTACACACATGTACTGAATGACTTTCTCAGTCCTTCTGCCTGAAGCCTTAGCGATTTTGTCTTCTGCAGGGCTAGGTTTTTAAAATCCAAGTCCTGAACATAGCCACGGTTATACTTATAGAGATACACCCTATGTCATATAGCGATGCACTTGAAATTCACCACATTTTTTGAAATGTCTAAAATTTCGCCATTTTATGAAAATCGCTATCTTCACACGGCGTATTTCTTTTTTAACAGTATGACAGTCTCAAAACCGAGATGGCTACTAGTTTTGCAGCTAGTACAATTCGCGTATAATCCCTACCTGAAGCCTGTTTTGTAACTGCGGTATTCTCGTACTTCTTCACCTCAATTTTGATGCATTTACAAGATAGGCCAGACTATTTGCCCCAAATTGCCAGCCTATGACTATGACAGCGGATAAGCTCTAGTGTTCATTATATGTTTTGTACGAGCCGTGACTAGAATCAGTATTTTACATGTACATGGAACACTGAGCGAAACGAAAAAAAAGTGGAAACCGGAACATTAAAGCCCATATATTTTAAAAATCGTTCCAAGAATTAGAGTTGGAAGCTTATTTTCACCTTGCATACTAACTGGACTCCGGTCTAATTGGCAATCGGTTAAAAGGGAGAATGTATGACCCTACAAAATGTTTAGACCGCTGTTTAGCTAAAATAGTAGTGTGCTGCAGAATAGATAATAGTTCTGAAACAACAAGGTTGTGTTAAAAGTACGGGTGTGTAATTAAATTGAAAACACAAAGGTTCTTGTTGACTTAAAAAATAACACTGAAAATTTGGTTTTATGTATAAAAATGACGATTTCTGTTTTATTTCGTTATAGGCTATGGGCTCGCGTAATCGTCTCATGTTGGTGGACAGGGAAGCAGAGCGCAAACGGTTGCAACTCGAACAGCTGTTGTTAGAAAGGAGAGTGCAGCTTGAAAGACTTCGAAGCCATGCGTCGAGCTTACGCGCGGCGAAAGAAGATCTCACCGCTATGCTCGAAAAAGCCCAAGGATAATGGCGAAGTTGAAGATGCTGCGAGATTCTGGTTCATTACCTACGCTGTTCTGATTGTACTTCGGTTATCAACCAGATGTATAAAATAAAAAAGACATCACAATCAGGCTGGTAGCCGTATGTATTTTTTAATTATTTTTTGTTGTTTTTTGATGAAGCGTCCTGTATCCGGCGACGAACTATTGAAATGTGCGTATGCATTAGAATTCTGTAGCCCTTGAGGTAAACTATTAGAATACCCGATGATAAATACTTGTGGTATATCATATCTAGTATCATATAGTCTTGTGTGCATCTACGGTTATTCGAAGACACAATGTACTTCCATAATTATAGAATAGGAGGTTGTCTATTTCTAAAGGCTCTGCGACAGGTTGTAAGGTTTCGATGATCCAATAGGCAAAGCTAAAGTAATTCAGTTCAATCAATAAGCATCGATTATCAGTATTAGCGTTTGTTCTGGATAAGCTGCATTGTACCGTCGTCATCAGAAAGCTCTAGACAATGGACAAGTTTAAGTCCATCAATTGGTCCTAGGTGGATCATTAGAACATTAGGATTATTCATGACTAGCGAACAACCAAAAAGCGATCCTTTGAACCATCGAATAATTGGCTTCTTGGTTTAGCCGTGATGAGTCTAGATGTCGCCACTTTCTCATAAATTTTTTTAATTAACGGTATTATTCAGGCCTTGGTAAGACACTGGTAGTTGACTTCGTCTTTTTTTTTTCAGGTAAATCCGATCGGTTCGGTGGTCCTTACTTCCCTCTTCACATGTCTCGGTAGGTTACGTATCGTCATCGCACAAGAACGAAACTTCCGCGGGAAAATGAACAGCTTTTTAGTACTAATGACAGTTGTTTGCTTAATTTTGCCGATGCAGCCTCAATTGCGGAGGTTTGCGCACTTTTTAGGTTTGATACTGTCAAATTCCAAATTAAATCATTAGTAATCGGCTAAGCAGGGGATACTTGTAAAATCTCAATAAGGAAGATCTATAGTGTCAGGTATCCATAGACCACACTCAATTTTATTTCAACCGTACTTTAAAAACACTTTGGGCCATAAGTATCATAAGATTATATATAAGAAAAATTCAATAGACCAAATTATGATTCACAAGTACACCTTGGATGAAACTCGTATTCGCTTCATGCCTCTGTGATACTGCACGTATACAAAGTTTGTCCAGCGTATGTCGAACCCCAGCCTTATCACGCTCTTCACATTTATTTTTACCATTCGATTTTTAATTGTCCGTGTCTTTGGAAGTGGCTTCCTTTATTCTACATGTTCATCGATTCAGTACATCGTTCACTCTAACTGCGCATGACATTTTCATTTATTGCTATTAAGATAGAACTTAATTGTACCTTCAAAAAAAAGCGTGCATGCTACGCCGCTTCGTTGAGTGAAACGAATGGCCTGGAAGGACGAGCAAAAGCATTACCTCACAGCCGTCCTTCCTGCTACGACTAGACGCACACTTGTCTGTTGGCAACCGTGAGGCCAACTGCTTTAAATTGATTCAATGAAAAATCAGAGGAAAGGCAATGTGCTAGAGTACAAAATAGCCGAGAGCAGACGCACACGATGACTCGAACGGCGACAGACGCACGAACTAACGCTTGACCAGCAGACATGGTAACGATTAGGCGAAAGGACGAAAAGATGTTTTGCAAATTTGGTCATATCTGTGACAATGCGGATCTCTGCAGACGCTTTTGCCCTCGTGTGCTTGTTTACCATGGGTTACTTCGTTACCTTATCGAGTAGGCAGTCGTTTATTTTGAATCAATTTCGATGAAATAGTTGATATGACGACACGCTCCCGAGGATCCCGCGCGTAATACCACGGCATGATATTGCAATGGTGATTACCGACAAATTGATTCTTGAATAAAAGAAAACCCGAGTTCGGTGAAAGGAATGTTGATAACTTCTATAAAACGTAAATTGTAAATAGAATTAATAATGGAATCATGTCAGTAGGGCTGCGCCTAAACTGCACTAGCT